CCCCCCTCGAATCCCCGATATTGGGTATCGCGTTAATCCGAGCCACCAGCGAATTTCCGCCGAGTTACGGTTAATTTCGAGCCAGCCGAGAGACAAGTTCCTGCTTGGCTATTTATCACGCCGCTCTATTCCTTTCCAATCCCAGTGTAAATAACGTCATAATTAAAACGATCGAATCTCGGAGACCGCGTCAAGTCAATTCAGTGCATGTGTCACGATCGTATCTTGGCGTCTCTCTGCCGGCGCAAATAAGATATTGCAAGAATATCGCGTTGCGGATATTAAGGAAAGCATCACGGACTTGAAGTAGTCGTCCATGAGAGGAGCGTCGGGAAATCGCGATTTTCACCGAGCACTCGGTCGAATCCCGCGACAATTCCCCTCGCCCGTTGTCGTTTCACGATCAATCGCGGATACTTAGCATGAAAGTATCGTCCGAGACTTGACTTGGCAGCTGGCGGCGAACAGTGCACAGTGGCGAAAATGAATTACGACCAGCCACGATGCGCGCAAGTCGGTGAAAGTGCTTGACGCGCGCGACTAGCGCGCATAGCGAAGGAGAGGAGCTCCTTTTTTCGACTCGGCCGCCGTACCCCCCTCGATGCGCGCTGCACCTTGCACTTGGTGGATTTGCATACTGCGCGGCACCGAGAAGGGCCCGGCGAATAAGAGCAGGGTGGCGCACCCGGTGCATGCTGCACGGTGCCGACGTGTCGCCGTGGGCTCGAATTTCGGAGGTCGAGTCGACGAAAACGTAATAACATACGCGGCTGCGGCGCGCGCGCAGACCACGCTCGTTCTCTGCGTTTAACACAGTAATATTTGAGGAAGCCACTTGAGACCCTCTCACCTAACGAAGATGCACGAGAGACCGGGGAGGAGCTCTCATTAAGGAATAACGGGGCGGGTGGTGGAACTGGGACGCGCTTAAAAATATTTCAACTGTATCAAGATTTATTGAGCAGACCATTTATTATGGATGCACGCAAGACCCATATTTCGATCTTCGGCGGATAAAATATTCTCCTAGTTCTGAAATATTTTCGAACTTTCCAGACGTTTGGACACCGTTACGGAACTAGCGCGCGTTCGCGCCGGTGTATACGCACGCGGTATCTGGAACACCGAAACCAATTCCGTCGTGTCTCGTTTTCTGCGAGGACGACTCGCGGCGACGACAACGAGAAGAAGGGAAGGAGAGGAGAAGAAGAAGGAGGAGAAGGAGGAGGAAAGAGAACGAGGGTGGAAAGGCGCGCTCGCGAACGGGGGGCGAGGTGGCATTATAATAAAAGAAGCGGGGAACGAGAGAGGCCGTTACACTGTCTGCCTTGTGTTTCTTCCGTCTGGCCCAGAATGCGAGGCAGGCTTTCACTGCAGTTTTCTCGTCTGGGTCGGCTGCTCGCGCGCTCCTCTCTGTCTTGTTCTCTTTCTTTCTTTCTTTCGCTGTCGCGCGACGACGACGACGACGACGTCGCCTTTCTCGCCCTCCCGCCCTCCCTCTCTGTTCCTCTCGCTCTTTCCTACACGACGAACGTGTGAGAGTGTGCGCACGTCGGTCGATACCACTTCACGTGGCACTTTTAAATGTCATCAGCCCGCCGTTTCTTGAGCTCGGTCTCGCGAATCTGAGCCATCTCGAACAGAGAGAAAGATGGCAATCGTCTGTCACGGGGTTTCTCGCGAAACGCCGACCTTTGATCGTCGTTGTGGCGATCACGGAGTCTCTTAGACGAAAAAGATAAATGGGAAAAAGATCAGGGCTGCGTTGAATCTCAAGATTACGTCTACGTGATATATACATATCTTTTTTTCGTACAATGCAAATTATGTAGAATATTGTACATCATATTAAGATGTACGACAAGAAGTAATTAAATTTTGAGACAGTTACACTATATCTATCTTGGATATTAATTATATATGTGATGTTTGAAAGTAACATACTAATTTCTGTATGAGCAAGCGATATCTCCTTTGACATCCATAGACTACTCATTGTCTGCATGGATGACGTTTCACACATAGTTTGCGTTGTCTGCTCGTAGAATATTATAATTCATACGTGAACACTTAACCCTGGAGAAAAGAGAAACTGTGGTAATTGATAGGTAAAAGGTGAAAGAAAGGTAAAAGAAAAGGGATTGGACGAAATTTGATGCGCGAGACGCTGAATTTCTTATCGCTATCCTCGCGATCCGCTGATAATTTAGACACGCGATTATCGTCTCGCGTAAACAAGACGATAATGGATTCTCCTCCCACCGCGAAGGGATAGCGTCAGTGCCGCTGATGACGGCGCTCGCTGGCTCTCCCGATACAAAGAGAAGGATCCGCCGTTCGAAGGACGATCGTAAAAATCGCCCTAAAGACGCTCCATTTTACGAGGCTTCTTTCGAAAGTGGGACTCGGCTTTTATTCGTGTCTACGAAAGCGATAAAAATGTCGACGTCGTCGCGGTGTCGTCGCCTCGCGATAAGCAAACCGTAAATATATTACGCACGAGCGCGATTCCGATTTATCATTGTGCGCGTCTACACGTGCAGAGTCGTTCGACAAACATATAAACAGTTCATTTGTGTCTCTGTTTCTTTTTTTCTTCTACACGGAAGATAAAAGTCGCGTATATTTCGCATGATGTTTTGGCCATATGTACAATACTCCTGAGCCGAAATTTTAGCCCTATTCTCGGCCTGAATTTTTTAACATCTGTACACGGGAAGAACAGTGTAGTTGGCTCACACATCAATCTGGTTGGTACAACCCACAGGTACGTGTGGGCCAACGATACTGTTTTTATTGAGAGATGGAATGTGTGTGAGATTAGTGTATGTTTAACCCGAGTCGAAATTTTAGCCCTATTTTCGACTTGCTAACATCTATACATTCTAAAGGATCAGTATATTTAATATGAAATTGGCCAAATAGAAATTTTGATTCTACTTTCAGTCTTTTGTTATTCCATTCAATATCTATTTTGATATTTTGAAATCTATATTACTTCTTTTGATATTATTTAACCCGATTTCACCCGAGTCGGAATTTTATCCTACTTTCAGCCTCACTATTCCATTCAATATCTATTTTAATATTCTGAAACCTATAATATAATTTATTTTAACACTAAAGTAAAAGAAACTTTGGGTATCATCAGAATCAAATTAAGAGTTAATTGTATCATTAGAATTAAACCTATTTTGCTAACTTAGCTCCTACTACGTTGTCGAATTCAAGGTTTAACACAGGTCTAAAATTTCGACTCAGGTGAAGTCTTAACGCCCCAAGATGACAGAAAACGCTACTTGTATCCGTCGGCATAGTTAAGTAGAATGAAGAGAGGTTGATACACGCTTCAGAGTATCAAAGTAATCGTTGAGTGGAAGGAGGTCGAAAGTAGGATCAAAAGTTTCGGCCTCGGCCGTGAATCTCCGTCGCGAGCGTACGCGAGGTCTCGCATCTCGAGGAAATACCGTATGCGCGAATCGCGTCGCGCGACGTTGTTCCCGTTCTTCCTCCTCCTCGAGAAAAGAAAACACGCCGGTCTTTCGGTGGAGTTTCGTTTAGCGGTGGATCTAACGGTCACTCTAATCGCGCTCGTTAGTATAGCGAGCGCGGCGCGCTCGTTAACATGCGTCGACTCGTGACGGCGGCGGCACGCCACGCGCATAATTTGCGCCCAAGTACGAGCGCGTATTTAACCGTTAAGCAGGAGACACAATGGTGGTGAAGGGGAAGGAGGGGGGCCGCGAGAGGAGGCGAGCGCTTTTTGAGACCCGTTCAGAAATGAGAAACGGTCGGGAACGGGTAAACGCACGGGGAAACGCGTGCGCGCTCTGCACGTTACTTTATTCACCGATTTAAGTGACACTTGCACGTCGACCCCTCGGCTAACGAGAGCGTTACCCGTAAAATTCGCGAAACGCCCCAGTTAAATCCACTCGGCACACGCTGGACGCGCAGCCAGCGTGTGTGTGTGTGTGTGCAGCGCGGGAACCAATTAAAAACGATCGCGTATATAATTGTCAGTTCCATTCGGATCACTATTGGAAAAGTCAGCATTTGACGAACTCATTTGGGTGTTTGTGACACGTGTCAAGC